CCCCACTTTAATAGCAGAGTAACATCCATGAGCACATGAAAACTGAATGAAACATGATGGGGCACCCAAAGGGTAAAGAACGCATTTACAAATTATTCACAAGCCAAGAAACTGTTAGAAGTCCGAAAAATTACTGAAGTATATAAGAATGGCATGTTCATATCCTGCCGGTACTGATCTAGATTTAGGATATTACCTTTGGCCTAGGAGTTCAAGTGACATTGCTGGATGCTCCTGGTTATATAGTTCTGGATGAAGCCATGTAGTTTCCATGGCCATGCCCTACCTGAACCTGTCAATGTGCTAAATAGAATTGATTGTAGCAAAATGCTGGCTGGCATAAATTTGCTAGGTGATGTCTTCAGTCTGCCAAGCATAAAAACATATATTAAAAAACCTCAATGTGTAGATGATTATGCAAACATGAAGTATAACTCACATTCAGATCCAGTCTCATAGGTGCTTTCCGGAGCCTTCGGCAGGAAGGCAACAGCCAACAGTACTCTAAAACTGAAAACCACACAGTGTGCATAAATCATTATATATTTCTACTGCAAGAAGTATTTATAAATTATAACTGGTATAACAATTCACCAAAGTAGTTGCAGCAAAAAGAAAATCATTAGTATGTTGCCCAGCACCGACTTCATCAAGATCATGATAAACATGTATGCAAACAACTGAAGAAGAGCAGCAAACAACCTATGTTAGCCTCAACATATGTTGTACGTAGCTGAAGAAGACCCGTGATAAACATGTATGCAAAATACCTATTACATCACTACTCAATTTTACGAGACATATACCAAGTTTCTACAACTGAAGAAGAGCAGCAAACTACATATGTTGTATGTAGCTAAAGAAGAGCAGCTGATGCTAATCTGACAACTGTGTAACAAGAACACAACAAAACTTCACTGATCATCATGGGTAAACATTAAGAGCTTGATAATTGAATCTAAACAATTTGGACTTTATTGGAATTGAATTGATGTGCAAAAACTATGGCATTTGCAGGACACATGCTATGTACTGCAACCAAGATAGACATGCTTGGCATTTTCACAAACATCTTATGAGCAATCACAGTAGTGCCATGATCCTAAGACTAAGCAAGATTTCCCTAATCTCCAACCAGCAAGATTTCCCTAATCTCCAACCCAGCATAGAGTTGGTCGAACCTACCAGCAACAATGGCATGGACACATGGTTGTAGATGCACTTCCTTGTTCGTGGCAATATGCTGATACGTATGGGTGGCCGGCGTGGCGGGCGGTTGTCGCGGATGGCGGCGAAGTCCTCAGCGATCTCGTCCCTGGTGAGTGCGGCGTAGGCCCTCTTCCTCGGTAGGGCCGGCGGCGACGCGAGCGGCTGCAGTGGGTGCCCTCCACCCCCCAACATGAGATATGTTTACTTTTAGTACAAAACCATGACGGAATAAAAAGAGACTGTGAACTATCAATTTACTTATATTCACTCTTAATTTAGTACAGATGTTCAGGATCAAACTTCACATGCTTTGTATAGAACTATCAATGTCCAAAGAAACTATAAACAAAATGACTTTAGAATAAAACACACAGACGTGACCTTAAACTGTAGTTAACTATGGGAGCCTTAAAATTTGCAGTGCTCGGTAAATTGAGGCCCCTCGGCCACGTTCCTGTGTGGAAGGATGAAAGACCACCGAGTATTAGAGTTGAGGATGACCTTAAAGTGTACAGAATTTACCCAGTTAGTCTAACGCAACGTCAGGAATTCTATGGTTTCAGATTTAGAGATGATTCTAAACTCGAGCAATATATCAAAGACCATCCCTGTGCAAAGCTTCAAGTAAATTTTGTGTAACTATGAGCTAGGCATCTGTTTTAGAGATGGGGAGCGGCGCGCGCTGCGGCGGCAGCCCGTGGGATCCAGCGGGGAATGGGATCCAGTGAGGACGATGGCGCGGGTGCACGACGTGGGCGCGCACGGCGAGGACTACAACGCGGGCGACGGCTGCGGGTCGGGGATGGTCGTGCGGCGGCGGCGCGGCTTTTTGTGGAGCGCTGTGGAGTACGGGTTGTGCGGAGAGGATGTCAGGATGGGGAGCGAAGGCAGCGCGCCACAGGACACGGCGGCGGTGGTGACGTGCGGCGGCGCATGGGCGTAGTTTTAGACCTGCGATTGCCGCGAGGCCGAGGGCGAGGGCAGAGAGAGGGTCAGAGGATTGCTGGGACCGAGCGTGATTGGTGCCTGGATCTTGCGATGGGGAGGCGGGGAAGTTTCGCACGGAAGGCGGGGAGGGGAGCGACGGACTCGCGGTTTCGCGAGGTGGTAGGCGGACGACACAAAACAAATGTCGCACAAAAAAGTGTCCACGTTTTGCTCTTTTTAATTGTAGGAGATAGCTGAGGCAGTGGTCAATTGCTTGGTTCAGTTTTTGGCCTCTCTTTGTACCTATTCTATTTTGTGTGCTCCGGCTCCACCAACGGAAGCTACTGTTTATTGAAATCACCTCTTATTTATGAAATTTGTGGTGGCGCTGTGCAAACACGATAGACAGTGAGCCAAGAAGAGATTTTGCCTCCTCTTAGGTATTGTGCTCATACTTGCTTATGATCGTTGCTTGTGATGTCAATAACACATAGTTGTGCAATCTGAGCTTCTGTTTATTGCCCATGAAGTGATAGATATATTCTTCTTGATTCTACGCTTGTTATCACTGTCCGTCATCATTGCCTGTGATGTTAGGTTATACACTCTTGGTTTTGAGCACACACCCTATTTCCAGAGATAGCATTGTCAGACACTTTGCTTGTTTGTGCTCACTTTTGCTTCTCCTGTTTCTTTCAATTCTCGCTGCAACTATGCGCACTGCTCATATAGGTTCGGTTTAACAGACACATTCTTTTTCAAATTTCCCGATAGTGTCATTAGCTTTCTAATACCAATATTACCTATACATGATATATCCCCACGAAGCTGCATGTACTGCTCTGGTTACAAGGGAACTGTTTATCAAAGATTCAAAATATATTCTATTATATTGGTTGTTGTATCAGTTTGTTTTGGCTTTTGGGGTAAAGCAAATTTAGGTTCCAGCTTTTCATAAAAAAATGATGATAGTGGAGGGTTTTCAAAGGTGAATTGAAAATCATGAAACGAGGTACGTACTTCTCTCCGATTACTGCAATGATATGTTGATTCTGATTGTTTGTTAACACATTTTGATTGTTTGTTAACACCTTCTGAATGATTTGTTGGCAACTACAGTGTACCATGTTCCTCTTTTCCTCCGTTAACCAAAAATGTAGAGAGGACCTATCATAATCCTTTTTGTCCAATAGCGATTTATTGCTCTTTGACTAAGAAAGAGTAGTGTGTTACCTCCATGATCATTTGGCAATCTTAACAGTCCTGCAACAATAATGATGTATATGGCATCGCTACATTGACAACTTACCGAAACAGCTTCCTGCCAACCTGTGTCAGATCACAGGTAGATGGCAGTCCAGTGAGCAGAGTAACAAAGATATCACATTCAGCCTGCCTAAGATTGCATCATATGGTGACATTGCCACAGTCCACCCTCGCGACGGGACAAAGAAAACTACTTTAGCAGCACAAACATGAAAAACGCTGAAACTATTGTTTCCTCATATATTCGAAAGAGACTACAGCCCAACAGGTCCTACTGCTTAGCACAAAGATACCTGACTTGAAGCTTCGTCAATTCCAAACAGAAGTGATCAAGGTTAGTCCTCAATCTCTACATATCTCCGTCTAACCAAACGAAATCAAATCAAATTCACAACTATATCAAATTCTAATATCACAATTGTTTCAGTTATGAAAGCAGCACAAAGAAACCTGACTTCAAGCTTCCTCAACTCCAGGCAAAAGAGATCAAGGTTTGTTCTCAATCGCAGATCTTTTAAAGCCTCATATGTCTTTGGCTATGGGAACAAGATCACTTTGGGTTGCTTTTGGACATGATGTACTCCATTTGTCTAGCACTACTGCCTCAAATAAGTGAACAAATGGTCTCATGCATTGTATACATGTTCAACTAATACGAATGCTCATTGCAGCGCATTCACCAGCGGCTCGCGGCCAGTCGGGGCGGCGGCGTCGGTTGGGTTGGCTGCGGCGGCGGCCTGCCGCCGGCGAGGCTCCCCAGGTGTCGCGCCTCCACGGGAGAGTAGCCATAGAAGAGAGAGGGAGCGAAGGGAGGAGAGAGAGAGAGAGAGAGAGAGCGGAGGAAGAGGAGCTACCACGAGTGCTGCCGCCACTGCTCCTGCTCACGTTGAGGCTTCCGTGAGCCGCTGCCACTCGTGCCCACGGCGTGGTGGCGGCCTGCTCCGTTTCGCGGTGCTGAGCGGATCTCATTTCCCCGTCGAAAGCCACCCTCCCATCAGGTTGAGATTTCACAATCCAAATCCATCTTTATTTCTTTTTCCCACCATCCAAACAAGGGATAAAATCTATATCCCACAAGCTATTTCCCTATCCCAGTGCCCATTTTCCACCAACCAAACGGCACCTAATTAAAAAACCGTCACCGGTTGTTTAACACAGCTCTGATATACGTTTGCACACGGTCAACCCATTTTGCCAGCAACCTAAGGTTGCACATGGATCCAGCGCGTAACTATTCCCATGCCCATTTAGCTAGGATCGCTAGTGGATATGGTGTGATCCTTTCTAACTTTTTTTAAGAGTCCAAAAGACCAAAAGCAAAGGAGGTAGAACCAATAATCATACACACGACAAGATCACTTAAAAATAAACAAGCAGCACGTATATATATATATACGAATGGATATGATCGACAAGCAACGTATGCCTAACTTACCAGAGCTAACATTATCTGCATGCGAGCCAATCAGGCTGCTCACCCCCTCGGCGACGTTGGGCAGTGTATCTATAAATACCTCTCGGCTACAAGCTTCATTCCAAACACACAACACCACCTCGCTCTCGCTAGCCACCTCAAACCATTCTAGTAGGAGGAGGACATGGCGAAGCTCAACGCCACCGTCGCTGCTGTGCTCGTGCTGCTCGCCTTCCTCGCCGGGCAGTCGGTTGCCGGGCGCTACTACTACGACAAAGTCCAGGACAAGGTGAGGAAGGAAGTGGAGAAGGCCATGGCAAACAATCCCAGCATTGGCCCCGCCCTTGTTCGCTTGGTCTTCCATGACTGCTGGGTCAATGTAAGTATACACACATTGCTTGCTTGCATTGCTTGATTATATACTCCTATATTAGGACGACATCATCACTGCATTATATTGTACGTATATTGCACGAGCTCCGGTCCAAAACACAAGACTCACTCGATCGATAATGCTGTCACATTTTACTAGGGTTGTGATGGCTCCGTGCTCCTAGACAAGACGCCCACCGACGGCACCAACACCGAGAAGAAGGCGGCCAACAACATCGGCCTCGCGGGCTTCGAGGTGATCGACGCCATCAAGCAGAAGGTCGGCACCGACGCCTCCTGCGCCGACATCGTCGCCTTCGCGGCGCGCGACGCGGCCGACATCCTCAGCGGCGGCAAGATCTTCTACACCCTCCCCGGCGGCCGCAAGGACGGCGTCGTCTCGTCCGCTGCGGCCGCGGACGCCAACCTCCCGCACCCCAACTTCGACTTCGACCAGCTCAAGGACAACTTCGACGCGACCAGCCGAGGCAGGAGCTTCACCGTCGAGGAGCTTGTCGTCCTGTCCGGCGCGCACTCCATCGGCGTCGCTCACCTCTCTTCCTACCAGGACCGCCTAGGGGGGCCCGACTCCACGCCCGTCGACTCCGACTACCAGGCGGCGCTTAACAAGACAACGCCTCTGACGTTGCTCAAGAGTGGGCAGAACCCGACGGTGCCGAACAACGCTCGCGACGGGAGCGACGCTTTCCAGAAGGACGCTGCCTACGACCCCGTGGCAATGGGGGTGAACCCGAAGAGGGGCGTCCTCGACAACAGCTACTACCACAACAACCTCGTCAACAAGGTGCTCTTCAAGTCCGACTGGGTGCTACGCACGGACGGCTTCGCCGCCAGCAAGCTGGATGAGTACAAGAACAACCCGGCGGAGTGGAATTCCGACTTCGCCGCCGCCATGGCCAAGCTCAGCAGCCTGCCAGCCCAGGGAAACAAGTTGGAGATCAGGAAGAACTGCAGGGTCCCCAACCAGTACTAGACGATCGAGGCAGTCGCTTCAGCCTTCAGCGACGACAACTGGACATGGAACCTGCTACATGCATCAACTATAAATAATCTGTATTTTTAGCGTATCCCTTTAATTCCTAAATTTAATTTAATTAATCGTTTACTAGCTACTTACGGCAGGTGTACGTTATTATCAAAGCATATGTTCTATCTATATCTGTACAATGATAATAATGATGATGATGTTATTAGTGTTATTGTTGTTGTTGTTGTTGTTAAAATAAGATTTATTTTTCTTCCATTACATCTAGAAGAGTGTTTGACATATGCTCCTCCATAACGAAAATAAGGTAGCAATCGTCACCTCACATGTTGGACAAGTGGACCCAACATTCAACTCTGGCAATAGGAGCACATCCTATTTGCAATAGGTCTCTCCGTGCTAACGGACCCTTACCCAATGTACAACTTTAGACCCCTTATGATCTCCCTACTACTTAAAAGAGTACAACTAGTTAAAGTGGGACGGTTTTTAACAAAATCATGGGGCTCAACAACTTTGGATAATGTGTTGAACTTCTCTATGTCGGTATATTGGTCCTTACCCTCACTGCAAGAAAAAAATCCCAAATGACATGAGGACCAAGTAGGCTAAGAGGTCCAAACTAGAGCCATCATTTACTTGGTGGACAAGTCAACATCAAGGCATCTCTGTTCCATGCAAAGCAAACAACATACTCCTTGAAAAGCGCAATTAGTTCAATGGGTCAGACTTTTAACTTCTGGTGTCGGCCCAGGCACTGAGCCATCCCTAACCACAACTTTTTCCAATGGGTCAGCCCATGTGAAACCTTGGCCCAACTTATTGAGCTCATCAAAATCAATAGCCTCACAGACATCAGTCTTAGAAGCCCGATACTACTCAAGATGATGTTTGAACCATTCCAAATTAGCATCCATTAATGATTACATGATGACATTGAGCCGATTATCAATTGGCTTCAAGGAAACAGGTACAAACCCTCTCTAGTGACACTAATAAGTGAACATAAGCAAGGTCCGGACCAAACAAGCAGGCAACATCATGATGTCCCTCGAGTGAATGAGAATCAGCCATGGCAACGTCATTATGCCCTCCGAGTGAAGGAGCATCTCATGGACAATTTCAATATCGTCCCCAACCCACTAGATAAGGAACTAGTGCAAGCTAGAAGGTACACACTTATTGGCATGGATCCAAATGCACCCAAGTATCAAGTTATAGCTACCTTGCACCTCCGCGACGAAAAATGTTGTGGGCAAAGTTTTGCTTCCAACACTACTAGGAATATCCACTTCTATGACGAATAGCTTTCGTCACTGAAGAAGTCCAAATCGTCATAATTTCTGTTTTATCATGAATTTATGATAAAAACGGTTCGTCATAAAAGTCGCGTCGTACTTGAACTTTTATGACGATTTTCGCAAATCGTCATAGAAGTGGCTTGATCTGTGACGAAAACAGAACGTCATAGAACTATTTTGGCATGCGTGGCATGACGGCTGCCACGCTGGTGGATGCTTCCATTGGAGATGCTTTTCATATGTACATGCTATAGCCGGTTGCATTAGAGATGGTTAAGGTACGTGTCACATTCTTGTTGTAGAACGTGGCCATCTCTAGTTATTGCACATTTCATGTTCTTACTGGACCACGTGTCCGGTTTCTGTTGTTCCATATATCAGTTTTTTATGGGCACACGTGTCGTGTTGCGGTTGGATCACGTGTCACTTCTTCATTGGACCATGTGTCGTATTTTTATTGGTCCACGTGGCCGTTTCTTATTCGACCACGCGTCACGGCACTGTCCGTCCACGTTTTGCATTTTTATTTGGCCATGTGGCTTGACGATATCCTTCCACGTGTGAAAGGTCCTAATATGGCTAGAGGGGGGTGAATAGCCTATTTAAAATTCTACAAATCAACTAGAGGAATTTGATTAGTAAGACAAATAGCGAAATACAAACTTACTCTAGCTCTACGAGGGTTGCAAGCCACCTATCCAACAATTCTAGTTCCAATGATTACTAGACACACAACTTGCTATGATACTACTCACTAAGAGCTCTTAATCTTGCTACACTAAAGAGCTCCACTAGATGAACTTAAATAAAAAATCAAGCTCTCAATTCTAATTACACTAAAGAGCTTGCTACTAGTTTACAAGAATATAAAATAGTGAGTAGGTGATTATACCGCCGTGGAGAGGGATGAACCAATCACAAGATGAAGATGAAATCAATCACCGGGAGAATACCAAAGAGCAAGAGATAATCAATTTTCTCCCGAGGTTCACGTGCTTGCCAACACGCTACGTCTCCGTTGTGTCGACCAACACTTGGTGGTTCGGTGGCTAAGAGGTGTTGCACGGACCTCATCCACACAATTGAACACCGCAAGAACCAACCCACAAGCGAGGTAACTCAACGACACGAGCAATCCACTAGAGTTACCTTTAGACGCTCCACCGGGGAAGGTACAAATCCCCTCACAATCACCGGAGATGGCCGCGAACAATCACCAACTCGTGCCAATCCTCCACCGCTGCATCAAGCCGTCTAGGTGGTGGCAACCACCAAGAGAAACAAGCAAAATCCGTAGCAAAACACGAATACCAAGTGCCTCTAGATGCAATCACTCAAGCAATGCACTTGGATTCTCTCCCAATCTCACAATGATGATGGATCAATGATGGAGATGAGTGGGAGGGCTTTGGCTAAGCTCACAAGGTTGCTATGTCAATGTAAATGGCCAAAACGAGTGAGCTTGAGCCGGCCATGGGGCTTAAATAGAGTGCCCCCATGAATAGAGCCGTTGGGCTCCTCACTGCACTGAACACGGGCCGACCGGACGCTCCTGTCATATTGACCGGACGCTGGACCTCAGCGTCCGGTCGTGCGATGTGCGCCACGTGTCAACTGCTTCAAACGTTGATCGCCCGATTTCAAAGGTCAAGTGATGACCGGACGCGTCAGTTAGAAAGTGACCGGACGCTGGACCTCAGCGTCCGGTCGTTTCCACTAAGTATCCAAACGCGAAAATTCATGACCGGACGCGCCCGGTCATGCTCGACCAAACGCACCTAGCGTCCGGTCACTCAACGTTTCCTCTGTGTGCCTCACGTCAGCGTACGTCAGCACTGACCGGACGCACCCTGACAGCGTCCGGTCACTAAGTGACCCAGCGACCGGTCATAAGACCGAAACGCGCACCCTTTGCTGCCACTGACCGGACGCGCCGGTCCAACCGAGGCCAGCGTCCGGTCACTTACAGTGACCTCCAATTTTTTCTGTCTAGGGTGCCGGTGGCACCGTCGGACTGTCCGCACTCTACGGGCGGACTCTCCGCCAGTCGTGTTCCTTACTCTTGCTCCCAAACTTCACCACCCTTGATCAAATATGCCAACCACCAAGTGTGCGGACCTTGTGCACATGTGTTAGCATATTTTCACAAACATTTTCAAGGGTGATAGCACTCCACTAGATCCTAAATGCATATGCAATGAGTTAGAGCATCTAGTGGCACTTTGATAACCGCATTTCGATACGAGTTTCACTCCTTTTAATAGTACGGCTATCAATCCTAAATATGATCACACTCTCTAAGTGTCTCGATCACCAAAACAAAATGGCTCCTATCATTTATACCTTTGCCTTGAGCCTTTTGTTTTTCTCTTTCTTCTCTTCGAAGTTCAAGCATTTGATCATCACCATGCCATCACCATTGTCATGATCTTCGTCATTGCTTCATCACTTGGAGTAGTGCTACCTATCTCATAATCACCTTGATAAACTAGGTTAGCACTTAGGGTTTCATTAATTAACCAAAACCAAACTAGAGCTTTCAATCTCCCCTTTTTCGTAATTGATGACAACCCTTACACAAAGATATGTATTAAATTTTAATTGACTCCATGTTACTTGTCCAAGCATATTTACCATGTGTAAAGGATTATGGACAAGTTTCATGAATTCCAAATTGTAGCAATTGCTCCCCCAACATATGTGCTACGAGTTTGGATTGAAGCTTGCACATATGCTTAGATAGGAAATATAGGAGACAATTTCTACCAAATCATGCTAAGGTATAAGAGATGGACCTTTGAAGCGTGATACCAATCGGAGTGCACCAATATACCATCCTTAGCACCATTAGTAACTAGACATACATAAAAACTAGAATACCCCATGAGTTCAACATTACAAGTAAGGGTCTAGTTTCCATAAGATGAACATAAGTCTAGTTACTTTAGCATAATATCACTTGGAAATACTACTTTGGAAATGAAATCAATAGATAACCTATACATGCTAGATTTTCATTTCATCATTTAAGCCTAAAACTAACATACACCACACAAGCATGGATATTGAAATTTTAAAACTTGTGCCATGTAAGCAAAACATATGAAATGCACATTCAAATGCAACATATAAGTTTATGAGCTTGCTCCCCCTATTTGTGTGCATCTTTTGATTGATCCCCCTTACAATGTCATTCCATTTGTGAATTTCTCTCCTTGTACTATAGTTTATGAATTTGCGCCTTCTATCTTACTATCTCTTACTATCTTTGTGAATTTCTCTCCCCCTTTGTCAACAATTAGCATGAAATTTTAAAACTTGTGCCATGCAAGCAAAACATACGAAATTCACATTCAAATGCAACATACAAGTTTATGAGCTTGCTCCCCCTATTTGTGTGCATCTTTTGATTGATACCCCTTACAATGTCATTCCATTTGTGAATTTCTCTCCCTG